GTAGGTACAGAATTAGAAAGGTCAAGGCACAAATGAGATGCAACTAGCAAGAGAAATTGAGAACTACAGTAAATAATTTTTAGGATGTCAAAGTCTTTGCTTCACTTTCCCAAAAGGAGCTAGCATGATAGCTGACTTGGTATAAAATGCTTCTTGACTAAAAATAATGTAACTGTTTGGACCTCTGTGTCATCCTCAAGTGAAAGTTGATACCGTGGAGTCTTCTTTGTGTCACTTGGCATCTATCCCACACCAGAATCTTGAATTTACTACTTGCATTTTGGCCTGACTAGTGCTGACCATGGTTATTTGCAATGTTGTCTCTGCCTGCTTTACATTTTTCGTATCTGACAGGCAGTGTGCCTCCCAGAGGAGGTCTTTGAATCTCGTCTTTGCCCTCAAGCTGTGTAGACTTTTCTCCAGTCAGTGCACAAAGAACCTGCTGAGCTGCTCTTTCCTCCAGCATCAACAGGATTTTCCAACATAAGTCTCTCATCTATTAACGGATTAACATGTTTAAAATGCAACTCACTGAGTGGATTAAAGAGCTCAGGCATGGGGTAATAAGATACAGTAATGCCAGTTCAGCTCAATCCAGGACGTCAGTGACTGGGAGTTACCACGTGAACTGCATCAACTGTGTATGGTTACAAACTCGAGTCATGGATTTCTCTCTGGGCAGGCTGGGGAGCTAGTGAATGGAGTGAGCTGTGCAAGCAGTGCTGTCCCATTGCAGGGAGTAGAAAGTTATGCATCCAGATTTAACTTGGTCAGTTTTTAAAATGTTTGATAGAAACAAATTGTGGTGCAGTGGAATTTCTTGTTTTGTCCTTTTAGAGAAGAGGCATGATGTTTGCTGGGAGGGCAAAAATCCAAATAACGTCTTTATTCATAATTTTCTTCAAATGTGAATGTTTGCAATAATATTTATAACTTTTTTCAGTTCTGCACCTCAGATGGCATGGCTCAGGGCACTGACTGATCTTCTCTGGCTGTCTTCTTGGGACAGCTGCAGCTACATCTGCCTGTCCCCTCTGCTGCAGATAGTTCTGTATGGAAGGGGACAGGGCTGGTGTGCACACACATGCAGATTTTGTTCTGGTTTTCAAACTACTCTTTTTTTTTTTTTTTTTTTTTTTCCCTGGAAGAAACAGTTCCCTTTTGTTTTTAAGCATTTAAAAGCCTTTTTTGCATATACCTGTCACAGTACTCAGCACAACCAACATTTTTTTCTTTGAAAGTATAGAGCTCCTATTACAGAACTAGTATGTTTGGCCCCCCTTGAGAGAGGAGCCACCTGGAAAAATGAATCACGGTTTATTTCCAAACGTTGAAGTGATTGGTATGTGTGTTTTTTATTTCCCTCTGAATTTTTGAAACCATTTGTCACAGAAGATAAACTTCAGCCTTGGTTGAAAAGAAGCAGTCTTGTGGCAAAACAGTTCATCAGTTCAGGTAAGGGCCAGAGAAACTGTGACCCATGTGAAAGGTCAGGTGTGCCTTTCTCTACCTTTTTTTATTATTATTATTTTTTCCTTTAAGTTCAGTCATTCTTCTGCTTCTTCCTGGAAGGAGTTGGCAATGCAGAATTTGGTTATGTGTAGTGTTCTAAAATAGACTTCTGCATTTGGAAAAATGCATCTGCTAAGTAGAGCAATTAGTGACTATGTGTCAGGTTGTTCTTAAGATGATTCAGATGTTTTTCTCTAAGGCTATTACCAAGGTTATGATTGTTCTTATCTCATTTTGACTTTCTTTCTTTCTTTCAGGAAATCATTACCAAGCAAAATTTATAGCAGAAACTAGAACTTACTCATAACCTGGTATAGTGAAATGGAGACTATATAGCATCATGATAGTTTTGAGCAAAAGAGAATCTCAGTCTCTTTCCTGTGCTAGTAATTAAGTCTCCTGCTTCAGCCAAAGTCCTGTTTCACATGATAGTTTTCTCATCTATGTATGTTATTATAACAGAAATAATACTTAAGATTTTCAGACAAAAGATGATGAGTAAATTATCATCATTACCAGATTTCTTGGCTGCCTAATACTAGGTTCAGGGACATTAGTACTTACGTGAATAGCAGTAGACTTCGGTGCAGTAGTACTGAATATGCACATGAGCAGCTGGCATAGCAGGAGGTAACTGCCTGTTCAAGTGTTAGCATGGATTTTGTAGCTGGCCTCACGGTAGCTGTGTGAACATTGACTTTTTTTGTTCAGTGAACTTCTGAAACTTCTGCACCCCCACGTAGATTTAGCTCTTTCATTTCTATTATGAACGTGAACTTGGGGAAGTAAGGATTTGGTGTATCGGGATGGGTATTTCAAAAAGGATCGCTGAGCACGTGGAGGACGCAGGAGGAGAAACACAGGTGTGTACTGGGCAACCCTGAGAGCTGGTGGGAGGGTTTAAGGAGTGAGGGGCCGAGGGTCCTGCGTGCCCGAGGCGGCACGGCAGCCAGAGCCAAACTAAACACTGTCAAGCCCAGGATTCGAGGTGTAATGACTATATAGTTATCTTCAGAGCAAAGATGGTCTCTTCTAAGGATGGAACTGTCTGGAAGAGCATGCTTGTTGTGTTCTTGCCTGCAGTTGCTATTTTTCAGGTATTGGTATCTGTTGAAGACTGTATCAAAGTTGAATGACCCTTGCTGGAAAGTAAATACAAGTTTTGCACCCAGCCTGTTCGGATGCGAGAGCTCTGAATTAAAACGAAACTCTTACCTTTTTGAGGATTGAAAGCTGGGGCTTTGGATGTCTGTGAGGAAACTAAAGGCTATACGAGAACAGCTCAGAAGATTTAAAGAAATCATCTGGTAAAAGTAGGAGTTCCGTCTTACTCAAAAGTTATCAGTAATTCTCCTTTTCCAGAATGGATGTTGAGTTTTTAAATGTTCTGAAACCTTACCAACTTTATGTTTCCTTTCATCCCCTTCTGCTGTTCCTTATTCTGTCCGCATTGTAAGGCCAAATGCCTCTGTCCCAGAGCGTATCTCTTGAGAATCTAACAATTGTGTAGTGTCAGATTTGTTGGGTTGGGTCTTGCTCATGAAGCTGGCAAAATTAGCGTGAATTTATTCTGTTATACCTCTTGCTATTTTATGTTGTGCAGATGTAGGTCAGGCAAAGTGAAAGGAATGGGAGATTTGGGTGTCTCTTATTCCTTCTGCTTTGCCAGAGGTTCTTGCTGACTCTGCTCCTCTCCAAAAAATGCAGTAATGGTAAATTAAATTGGATGTTTTTCCTGCCATTGTGGTTGCTTTGTGCCTTCCTTTTTCTGCTTTGTTCTCTTTTGTTCTTCCTTCAAAAAGGAAAGCCTTCATAAAGCTCCGGAAATGCATGACGCTCACGTGCTGCGTGGGCTGTGCCAGCACTGGGTCAACCTTTTATTTATTCTTGTGTCCCTGACTTCTGAGGCTGAGAAGCCACTGCCATAGAATAGCGAAGGTCAACGTTACATTAGCAGTGGCTTTGCCACAGATTATTTAATACATTTCTGGGCGATGGTCGGCAATGCTACAGGTTGGGTATGGCTCCTGGCCGGTTTTGCCTTCCTCTTTGTGTGGCAAAGTGAAATGGTTCAGCTGGATGCAGTCAGTTGTCTTGAGGCTTGGGCTTGCCAAGTACTGAAAAGGGGAGACCAGTTAATAAAGAGCGCCTGAGGGCCAGACTAATAATGATATGAAAACGTGAAAAGTTTCAGAAAATGAAACTATGATTTGTCATCTATAGGTAGCTAAGTGCCTGTATTCCCATTTCACTGAATTTGTTGGTGGTGTTAATCAGTGGAGGTCGTCTTCCTTGCCTGAGTTAACGGCAGGACGTTTTTGTAGCATTCTGTACTTCTGCTGAGGAGGCAGCGACAGAACTCTTTTAGTGATGTGCCGGTGTGTGGCACATATTTGAGATGGTTGTAATAACCCTCTTAGGTTCATCACCTTGATAATTAACAGAATCCAGTCGGTCTGAGGTAGGTATTTTTAATTTCCAGTGCTTTTAAGAAAGGTAGACATGAACAGCACCTGCTAACGAATAGTTATTTCAGAGTTCTTATTCAAAATTATATTGTTATTTTGATACACAGTTAATGGTAATGGGGTTGTATATTTTATTATTCATCAGTAAGACAGCTACATGTCTTCCAGCGGTAATGCTGTTAATGTGCCAAGCAATTGCCATGGTTGGTTGGTTCTTTCTCTCCTTCTCTCTCGAGAGGATATTGTGTTTTGTGGTTACAACGTTTTGTTCTGATGGATGTAGAAACGGGGGATGCGCCCTGCGCTCGCTGTCAAAGGCAAGAGCGAAGCGCATGTTGCCCTTGGGGTGAAAAGTGGAGATGTCTGCAGGCGCCCCGTCCCAGGGGCAGTCCTTGTCACAGTCTTGCCCCTGTCTCGGTAAAGCTGGGCCGACTGCAGACGGCAGCGCGCATTGCACCGCACCAGGGAACAGAGCCGTGGACTGTAGGTGACCTCCTCAGCACCGTGGATTGAGGCAGTTTGAAGGTAGGGATAATGACCTGAGAGAGAGAGCGCTTGCATCGATGTGCTTGGGGCCTGAACTTAGTATTTGTGAAGTTTTTTTTGTGAAACACTTCCCGTGCCAACTCTGCTAGAGTCCTATCCGGAGTTCTTCATGTTTGACAGCGGAAGGGCAGTGCTTTCTCTTTAAAAGTCATCTTTGTAAATGTTTCGGTGGTTTGCAAGTCTTTGTTTTCTTGTTTCTTTATTCAACATCCCCCCCCCACTCCCCCCCCTAAATGTTTTCCAAATCAAGACTCCTATTTTTTATTTTTCATGCTGGTTTTGAATTTGATGGTGTTTTTTTGGTTTGGCTTGGTTTTATTTTTTTAATCCTTTCCCTCATTTTCTACCTTCCCCTATCTCCAAAGACTGACTGTGGCGCTCTCCTGCTTCCCAGTTCTCAATTCCACCCTGATTAACTTTGAGCCCAGTTGGGAAAACATATTTTATTCTTCTTCCCTTCCTATTCTGTTGCAGATTTTGACTTGAACTATTTTTGGCATTGGAGCAAGTTTACAGACTACGTGCAGTGTGTCCTGACCTTCACTGGTGTGACCGGTTACATCACTTACCTCTGGCTTGACTCGTCTCTCTTTGTGGAAACGCTGGGCTTCCTCGCAGTGTTCACCGAGGCTATGTTAGGTGTTCCCCAGCTCTACCGTAACTACCAGAATAGGTCCACAGAAGGAATGAGGTATGGTGTTTGTCTCACATAAAACAAGTAAGTGTGCGCGCGTGTGTGTAGGTAAATCTCCCTGTAGTGTGGGAATACTTTTCTGGGAAGGGCAATGCCATCTTTCTAAATTTTTCTCGAAAATACAGCAGCTGACGGAGTGGCTTCTCTGTCAGTAGGAGCTGGCACAGCACTGCTGAAGGCACCTCGCAGGTCTGACCCACTGTCCAAGTCCAGCTGGACATTTCCAAGGTGAAACACGTTTTAGTAAAATAAACATGTGAAAGGACTGCTGTTGCCATTAGCAACGTATTGTAGTCCAACTCAGGCTGTGCTATACCAGTATTTATAAATGGACTAAAGGGATTTTGCATATCAAAAGTAATAAAGAGGAAGCAAATACTTTGAGCCTGCAGCAAATAACTCTGTCAGTGTAACTCACGTATTATCTCATCACTTTTTCTCACATGTCTACTCATCACTTTATCATAATACATTAGTATGTATGTAGCAAATGACATCGGTCTTTATTTTTGTGTTGAAGCCTGTAAAATTTAAAAAAGCTCAAATGAGACGTTTACAGTCATGACTCGAAACCCTCTCTAAACAAGTGTGGGACAGAAAGCTTCAATCTTGTGCCCACTGTTGGGGCATTAAACTAGATTATCTTTTCATACTGTTTACTGGGTATCTCAGCGATGACACTTAAGTTTTCCACATTGCAAAGGCAGCTTGTAAAGCTTTTTAAGAGAGAAAATTTTCACTGTGGTGCATCAGTGCACTGGCCTGTGGAAATAGTACAGCAGCAAATTCAGTTCATGGAGTGCTGTGATCATTTGTGACTCTAACTGTCTTCTCTTTCATTGCTTTTGAAATTACTTCTCTTTCATTGCTTGTAAACTTGCTGGGATAATTTTTACTTTGGTCAAAACAAACAAGCACTCCCCACCGCCCCCAATCCAAAGCAATTGTGTCCTTTGTTGACATTGTTCCCTTTACTTATTTGGCTTGGAGATGCTTACACTAGCTACTTTAAGTTCTTTTCTAGCTTGAAATGTTGTGGAGGGAATGTTCAGAAATTTGCCTTGATGGTTAAGGCATTTTTCTGATTGGGAATCCCTTTGGTACAGAATGAGTCAGGATGTACTTCCAAAATATTGGGGTATTTTTTCATGCACACGCTCCCCTGGAAGATTCTGTACCTGTAATATTCAGAAGGCAATTTAACTACTAGACCTTCTTTATACTCTGGTTTGACTTTTTTCCTTCTATGTTTTTCATCTCTGAATCATAATACCATAATGCCATATTATGATAGCTACTGCCAGATAGTGTTTTGCTTTTCCTTAGCTCCTCTCTGGGGTCTCGAGTTTCAGTTTTCCAATTTCCTGTATATGCTGTTTAGCAAAAGGAGAAAAAAACCCCTTTGTTCTTCACAACAGTTTCTTTGTAAAGCATTTAGCACAGAACTGTAGAATTCTCATCTAAAACTACTTGGCAAGAGAGTGCTGAGTTTAGTCAAGAGAAAATAGCATAAAAGCTCTCATTCCCTTGCCATCAGAGCCAGGTCCAGCGATAGCCACCCCGCTTATCAGCTGTGCCCGCAGGTTTTCCAGAATGCATTCCCCTCTCTGGTTCTACTCTTGAAGTGGCATTGAAGATCTGATGGGTCTGGGGACTGAGGAGACAATACGCAGCTCACGCTGCTTCGCTGCAGTTGGAGTGCGTTCATGCAAATGCACGGTAGTACTCTTTTCAGGTTATATTGCAGTTTTACAGATGTTGCAGGTATACTTTCTAGCACCGTGCAATCCAGAGTTGACTTGATGGTCTCTCAGCATTAACGGGGTTGTTCCTACTGTGAGAGTGACTTATGAAAGTGTATCACCTTCTCTGGAACGAGCTGCTGGAAGTGTTTCCTCTGAACTCCCTGTGCCTGCTTCTCGGTCTAAAAGCACATCAGAGAAGAGACCCCAGTGCTGGAAGCGCTGAAGGGAGCATGTAACAGTCCAGCCAGGCTACTTACAGGACCAAGTTTATGAACTGGCAATGGTATTTTACCAGATGGGGGCTAGTTTCTGCTCAGAGCAGAAACAACGTGGCTGTGGATGGTTACGCGGTCAGAAGGAATTGCAGGGGTGATCCTCTGCCCATCAGCTGGGCCATAATGGCCGGCTGCCGGGCGTGCTCTTAGCAAGGCTCAGTGGCAAAGTAAAACAGATGAGTTTCAAGTGTCTTTGGGGTTTTAAGCTTAATGGGGAGGGCAGTGAGAATTAAGCTGTTCTATTTAGTGGTCTTTTGGACAATTACTGCATCCTGGTGGGAGGCGGTAACTTCTTAAAGCGTAGTAGTTCTGCCAGCTGTGGCGTGTGAGTGGAGCCCATGTTCCTGATGAGCCTCACAGCTTTACCACTGCCAGAGGAGGGGTTGTTTGGAGGTCTTCGTGACTTGGCTGAGAAAAGCAGCAACATGCATCTGTCTCAGAATTCGGGCAGAATGGGACATGGCAGCTGATCTGTTGTCTGTTTCCACTTTAGCAAATAATTCCTTTCCTAAATGTAAATTGACAAAACAGAAATGGAGAATGAGGTTACAGAATGTGGCCACATCTGATCAGGGTATTCTGCCAGACTCCTCAAGACATGGTACTGTTTCTGAAAAAAGGCAGCCAACAAATAACCCCACAGTTATGTTGTCCCGTCCCTGTGTCACCACCCCGCCATTGCCCCTTTCTGTTTAAATGAGAAACTGGAGACATCTGATGCTTGAGGTAGCAGTCATCTCTTGATAAACAAACCTGGAGACCAGAGGCCGTGAGAGGGGCAAGTGGGACAGGTGGCTGTGGTGGCAGGCAGGAAACCCTTTGGGAGTCTGTTGTGGAAAAGGGTCCCATCATCTCGCCTCTGTATTTCAATCTGACTGAGAAGTCCCCTGCTGAAAATGTGCTCAGTGTCAGAGGTAAATGTCCAGAGGACATCTGCAGCTGAGTCAGTTATGTTTATTGTAACAGGGCATGGCTGGAATGAAGGCATCACAGTTACGTGCATTGAAGTGCCCCTGAGAAAGAGTGTTGCAGTTCTTTCATGTCTCTATTCTGCTGGATAGAGGTCCTCACTTCTTATTTTTAATTATGTCTTAATTTCTCCCTACTTCTCTCATTTTCCATCTTTAGGTAGCAATATCACTACTAGGTCCTATAGTTTCCTCCTCTGTTCTCAGAGAGCAGGGAGACCAAAGGAGAAGTTGGAACGAGATGGAAACAATAAAAGCAGAAAGGAGATGTGTGCTGAGTAACAAACAGCTTTTGTGGGGAGGAGGTGTTATAGGATGTCCTGGTGGGCTGATGATTGAAGGGTGGAAATTTTCCCACAATTAGGTAAACAGAACTAAGCCAGTCGAAGGAACAGAAATTTTCATGATGTTCTGTTTGACAGTTCACTTGATTACTTTTGGGATTAGCACTTTATAGAAATGTAGAGTTCTGTTCAAGCGTTTAAGTACTTTTGAATACTTTTGCAAACCTAAGTGGCATAGTCATAGTTCTATTAATTATGGTACTAAACTTTACAGAAGTTCTTTTTTAATGAATTGTGTTAATACCTATCATGAAATAATCACTTAATTTAATCTCCATTCAATTCAAGAACTAAATCAGTTCTGTCCAGTCACCTAGTAAAAGAGTAACTGTTATTGGGATGGATTAGAATCAAGAGTATGATTATGTTTGCATTGGTTAGAAAAAGGAGGAAAGCAACCTCAAAACTTAAGAGCTTTGGAATGTAAGAGGCATCCTGTTGAATGGGAAGAAAGGGCATTATGAGGTTAAAAGATTGCTCATCACTTGCAGATTTTTTTTTTTGTTTATATCATGTGGCAAAATATGTCAAGATCTTGACATCAAGAACAACCCCGCTCTCCCATCTTCCGGGAGGCAGAACTGCTGACTCTGCTGCCGTTGGGATCTGATGCTCCTCGTACTACTAACTGCTTTTGCCTTGTGACAAAAACCATACAGACAAGGACTTCCTCTGTCATTTATCTTTGTGTCCCCACTCCTTCCAAGATACTCCCAGGCGCTTTCCCCTTCTCATAAACCGCAGCCGCGAGGAAAGGCAGTGTTCAGCGTGAGGCGGAGGGAAGGTTGGCTCTGGATCTGGCAGCAGCACTGCGGCACGCAGGGGTAGAGACCGGCCGGTCAGTTTGTTGGGAGAATGGCAACCTCGTGGGGCCGACAGCTTTTGGGAAGCTCCTGCGAGGGGGAAGAGCACGTGCTTGTGTGCAGGGGTGGGGAGAACCTCGTCTCCGTGGGAGGCGTGGGCTCGTGCAGGCGCTGGTGTTGCTGCGCGCTCATCGTAATCCCGTCAGACCCCCCCTCCACCAAAGGAGGAGGGTGGAAGGGGTTCCTCTGTATGGCTGTGACAAAACTGTTGGTGTGCCGTCCTGCCCGAGGATGTGTTACCCCTGGACCGAGGATGTGTTACCCCTGGACCGCACAAGGGTGGATTTGCTCCAGGGCAATCTCTTGCATTGCATTCCTGTCTGCTGCCCTGCCCTGCCCTGCCCTGCCCTGCCCTGCCCTGCTCTGCTCTGCTCTGCCCTCCTCTGCTCTGCTCTGCTGCAGAAAAAAAATAACTGCCCTTCCTTGAAAGCTTTTCACAAAAGCTCATCGAAATCACCTGGCGGTGGCCCTTTTTGCCTGTCAGCTGCTGCTGTTTGCGGCTCCATGGGTTTCTTTTCAGTGAGTGCTTGGAGTTCAGAGCCGCTGGATGACAGCATCTCCCCAGGTCCAAGAAAGAGGTCTGGCAGTAGGGCTGAGCTGGGTTTGCATATCTTGAATTCGCAGAAGCCACAGTCCAGGTGATGCCCAAGCTCCGAGGGACAGAGCCAGGAAAGGGCTGCGCCGTCCCGCCGCCAGCTGCTGCCTGGCTCCCTCTCCTAGCCCAAAGCCGGTTTTTAGTCTGCTTGGAAGGAACCTCCTTTCTGCACATCTTGGGCTGTCGTGTTTGGCTGACATTGGGTAA